TCTCTCTCTCTCTCAAATAAATAAAATCTTAAAAAAAAAAAAGAAAGAAAGAAAGAAAAAGGAAGTACTGGGAAAGAGGAGTAAAAACAATCAAACTATGTCCTCGGAAGGTTCCAAGTTATATCATCCAGAGTTTTAACAACTGTCTAGTACAATTATACCATCTTCTCTTCTTAGAACCATCTCATAATTTAAGGAGTGATAAGGTTGAGAGAGCTATTTAGGAAGACATTTCCAGGCAGAACTGAATTTAAATCATCGTCCAAATACTACATTCTGACCTTTTTAAAATTATAATTATTTTATCTGAAGGTATACAAAAATTAATCAATTGCTTTCATTATTTGACTATGAAATACCAATTCTACTGCCTCCAATAAAGAACCAATAATTACTTTTATAACATTAAGATAATTAAAGTCATTTGTAAAGACAGTATCGAGACTTTCTTGCACTTAAGACTAATCCATTATAAACAAATCTTAAAAACACGATTCCAGAATAAGTGCAGCTACATTGGGTACAGACAGAAAGAACAAGGAACTCACTGCTATGCTACATCAAATGGATGAAAAGTAAAATTGATTTTATGCTGGAGGATTCAATAAATAAGTAAATAAACAAATAAAGTCCTATCTTTTTTCCTGCTATGTATGCTTAGAGTTCTTGTACAAATAACAGAATGCTCCATCTCATTCACTTCAATAGAATGAACTCTTTAGAAAAAGACTGAAAAGATTTAATAATCAACTCCCAAATTTTATGCTTATTTTTCCGATCTATCAGTTTCCTGACATAGTTAACATAAGCAGGTAAATCTTTTCAATAAATTGAGCAGTTGAAGACTCAAGCAAAAACCCAAGCGAAGACTCAAATGTCTTGAGGAACTCTGGCAAGTTACATATATCCCATGTTGCTCTTGGTTTCCCATCTCTTCTTTGCTTCAAACCTAAAATAAAGAACACAGAAATCTCAATTTATTTTGAAATACTTTCCTAAACATGCTTACTAAGTGCCACAGTAAAATAAACTTAAAACATTTTCACATACTCCATCGATGACAAAATAAATATCAAAAAGGATGAAGAAATGCCTCCAATATTTATAATATGACAAACAAGCAGCAAAGACACAAAGAATAAAATGAGTAACAATCACACACAAACTGGATTCATATGATGTATTCCAGGATTTCTGCAATCCCTACGAGGTTCCTAGAATTACCCCCATGCAAGTTTCTTCTTTGTACGGGCAACCTGTGAACTTTCAGTGTCCTTTTCGTCTCCAAACTTACCCCCATGCAAGTTTCTTCTTTTTTCGGGCAACCTGTGAATTTTCAGCGTCCTTTTTGGCTTTTACAAAGTTGTGGCAGGCAACTGCCTTGGCAATTTTTACACCAAGCTACGAATTACAAAGGAGAAAAACAAACAAAAAAAAGGTGAAAAGAAATATTCCAGCTAATACAAGAATTACAGTCATACAAATACTTGAGAAGTTGTGGGTATGAAAGCCGTAGCTACAAATTAGAAATTCTTATGCTCAGGCCACCTTGAAGAAGCAAAGTAAACAAATGCACAAATGCGGCCCATATTTCCCTTACCTCCCACAGACCCTGTACCCTGGTTGCACCAGCCTCCTGGATGGAAATCCGTCCCAAACCGAGGGCCCTTGAGGGTCCACAAGGATACGATGAAGATCTTCCAGCTATTCCAGCATTTCAGTAGGCCAAACAGGAATTTATCCCTGATAAGGCTGCACAGACTGACAGAGACATCAACTTTCTTTGCTCTGGGCTAGAATTATAGCAACTCAGTATGGTCACATCAGTTATCTCATGCTGATCAGAAGCTCTGATTGGCAGTCATAGATGTGATTAATAAAACATGGGAAAGCTAATTACTGCTTCATAAACGCACTTCATATGATGGGCAACAGCTTTTAATTCACTGATAGAAAAAAGAATATAGGGGGTGCTAAGATGCAAGAAGGCTGGGCACGAGGACCACAGTACCTGTGTTCCCTCTGTGGGCCCCTCTGTTCCTGCTCGGCCTGACACCCATCTGCCCCAGTCTTGTAAGGTCCGATCAAAACAAAGCCTCCTACCCACCCACCCACCCCCACCCCAAAGTCTTCTCTAAGTTAACCTAAAACAGTCCTTGTTTCTGTACTTCTCCAGCCCTTCAGCCTCTCTGCCATAACCTACAGTTCGCACACTCTGCTCTACACAGCTCTCAGGCGGCCAAACTTCCTCACTAAGTGTTCCAGGACAAGCAGGGGGATCTTCTAGTTTTAGTGGCTCTGATTTTCAAAATACCTGCCCACATGGACAGCTCAAAAATATCTGTTATGAAACCAGGTTGGAAAACAAAGGCTAAAAATCTCCTTCTGGTGTTTCTTTCCCTTTCTATCCCTGGACTCACCCTAATGCACATGAGTGGACAACAGACATGGAAGAGAAGAAAGAAGCTGGACGTCACTGTCAGGTCAATGTGGTAAAGCCCGAGTTTTAGGGACCTGCTGGCCAACAGTGAGGCATCGTGGGAGGGTATGAGCACATGTATGAGAAGCCTATTTAGGAAAGTGAGGTCTGACATGCTTGACATGTCTTTCAGCTTATTCTGGAGAACAGTTTCCTTTAGGATGAAACGAACAAGTAGGAATCAAGCACTGCTTGAGGTTTATGAAGGACAGCACACATTGATTTCATTTTCCAGACCAGGTAAGAATATCTATAAAGAATGGAAGCAACCCAACAATCAAACCGGAATGCTGGACTGGTCAACACCAACAGGAAAGCCACCGACCAAAGAGGGCTCAACTGTGACTTAGGAGTGCACTTGACAAAGCTGACTGACCTCAGGGTCCCAAAATTCACACCAATAGGACCAGCACCACTACCTTCATCATCTCTTTTCACAGGACAACATTCACTCAGCAAATATCAGGAGGGCACAAAGGCATTGTTTGGCCAGGCATTGTTCAGGGCGCTAGAAGTACAGCACTGAACAAAACCAAGCTGATTTTCACACTGGGGGCTAGGCAGAAGGGGTTGCTAGTGACATTAGCTGTTTGACTGTTTCAATACTGGCCTCCTTCCCTTGGTTGTCTCTTGGTTTCCAGTTCTTCATCATAGAAAAGTTCAGATACGTCAACTAAGAAAAGGTTAAGAATCAAAGGGCTGGAGCATCACCATCTAAGGAGAAAATGCAACCAAAAAGACTCTGTGGCTAATTTATCATTAAGATGGATTCCACAGAAAAACTATCCATTTGTCATAAACAACAAAATCAGGTCAGTGCCCGTCAGGTTAGGCTAGCCAAAACTGTACCTCCCAAACAAATCCCCAAATCCCACTGTCTGAACTTTTATTTCTTGTTTCACTTTCTAGTCAGCTGTGGCATGGCTGGGCTCTCCTCCATCTTGTGGCACCGGCATCTCAACATGTGACTTTCAAGTTTGCTGCAGCAGAGGAAGAGAAGGCTGGAGGGTCTCACAATGGCTCTTAAATGGTTTAGTCCAGAAGTGACACGGTCACAACTATTTATATAGTTCCACCTAAAGCAAGGCGGCTGGGAACATGGGGTGCTGAGGGCTCCCAGAGGAGTAGCAGATGCACCTAATAAACTGTCCACTGTCATAAAACCCAGCTTGCTACCTGTGTTAAGATGTATGCCATGTCTCTCACAAAACCAAAAGACAACCAACAGAATGGGAGAAGATACTTGCAAATGACATATCAGATAAACGGCTAGTATCCAAAATCTATAAGGAACTTATCAAACTCAACACCCAAAGAACAAATAATCCAATCAAGAAATGGGCAGAAGACATGAACAGACATTTTTCCAAAGAAGACATCCAAATGGCCAACAGACACATGAAAAAGTGCTAAACATCGCTCGGCATTGGGGAAATCCAAATCAAAACCTCAATGAGATACCACCTCACGCCAGACAGAATGGCTAAAATTAACAAGTCAGGAAACGACAGATGTTGGCGGGGATGCGGAGAAAGGGGAACCCTCCTACACTGTTGGTGGGAATGCAAGCTGGTGCAACCACTCTGGAAAACAGTATGGAGGCTCCTCAAAAAGTTGAAAATAGAGCCAACATACGATCCAGCAATTACACTACTGGGTATTTACCACAAAGATACAAATGTAGGGATCCGAAGGGGTATGTGCACCCCGATGTTTATAGCAGCAATGTCCACAATAGCCAAACTGTGGAAAGAGCCAAGATGTCCATCAACAGATGAATGGATAAAGATGTGGTGTGTATATATATATACAATGGAATATTATGCAGCCATCAAAAGGAAGGAGATCTTGCCATTTGCAACGACGTGGATGGAACTGGAGGGTGTTATGCTGAGTGAAATAAGTCAATCAGAGAAAAACATGTATCATATGACCTCACTGATATGAGGAATTCTTAATCTCAGGAAACAAACTGAGGGTTGCTGGA